AGCTTAGTACCTTAGTCATTAGAACTAGCTTACTAGCTTAGTATGTGTATTTTTAGTTTAGGAGTTGCTATAGCTTAAATGCTAAGTGTTGCATTATCATCGCATGCATGTAGAGAATGAGTTGGCAGAGATCATGACCACCGGCGATCACGAGTTCTAGGAGATCGTCAAGGAGTACGAGGAGGAGATTCTCGTGCAGGAGAAGATCCCGGAGCCGCCACTGACTGACTCAGCTGACACAGCGCCTGCCCAAGGCAAGTCCCGGTGCATAACCCCTTATTTTTGGATAATCACTGTTTATATATGTCATGTGCATTTACGTTACATGAATTTTATAGAAACCACATGCATAGATATACATGTTCTAAGAGTCTTGCTAGTGCAGGTTCGGGTAGCTGTTCTACTTAGGTTTTCGGTAGCGTGAGTAACCTGCCGTTACTCACAATAACTGATTATTATATTTACTCTCATGATAAAATGATGAAAGGAAAAATAAAGACCGGGCAGAGATATGGTATGGGTATTGGTGAGTGTAATATGTTGTGTCTCGCGGCCAACGGGGCTTAACTTGGTTACACTGTTTTCCCTGTTCGTATCGATTAAGGACCGTCCGTTGCTGTGGATGGTAGCCAGGTCACAGACTTGTTATCCTGAGCACATACTTGTTTATAGGAGCAAAAAGGTTTGTTACGCTCTTGTCGTGGGTTCCAGCTCTTTTTAGACCAACTGATTGTAGGCGGGGAAAGGTGGAGGTCTAAGCACCATACTGAGACCGAATCTCAAGTGTGGGGGCTTGGAGTCTAAGTTTGGACGGGGACCTAGACCCCGTGATAGGAGTGGAATGGGTTAGTCTTATTTGTGCATAGGGTACAAACGGGACGTGTGTTTCGGGGTACCCAGCTAGGATACATTGGTTCACGAATCACCGTTTCTGTGAGACGGTGCGACTTGGCTATGGTCTAGCACCATAGTAAGAACTGGAAGATGAAAGATGGAGAAATGATTCTGATTGCTCAACCCTTGCATGAAGGTAGAACAGGTGCTTACTTAGAATGGTTAGCTAATGAAGTAATCATGACTGCTAATAAAACTTGATCTTAAGGATGTACTCCTAGTAACGCTTTTCGTAAACAAAAAGAAAACAGCAAACCTATATTGCCTATCATACTCCTTGGAGTCGGAAAACTATTCCCACTAGTCAAGTAAGTCTTACGAGTACATTGTGTACTCAGGGTTTATTTTACCCCTGTTGCAGGTGCAGCTTGAGGAGTAGCTCTTGTGTAGAGGATTCTTCTGGTGGGCACAGACGGATCCTTGTATCGTTTCCGCTAGATGTTTATTTTCATTCCGCTATTTAATTATCGCACTCTAAACTCTGGTATTGTAATAAATAATTATTAAGAACTCTTGTTGTATGAAATGGACTAAGTATTGTAAGCTCGTACTCATTAGATTCTGAATATAAAACGTGGATTGTTTCGAGTTCTCCCTTGGGGTGTGCTCGACGGAACTGTTCGATGTAGCTCACTTTCGAGGTGCTTAGTGTCTAGTGAAAGACGAGCACCTTCGAAAGCATGTTATTTCAGACGGTTCTGTCACATCGTTTGACTGAAGCTTGTATTGCATTGATGCATATCATTTAGGTACGATGATGGTTGATGGATCAATCAATGTACTATGAAGTCGAACCGGAAGACGGTGTAATGGTGGCCAAGTCCAGAAGATGGAGATGGTTGGATCACATCCTGAAGATGGAGCCAACTAACTTGTTAATAAGTTACCCAGGCAAGCCCCGGTGCATAACCCTTATTTTTCAAGCACTTATTACTATGTGTGCATTAAGTTTCAGGAGTTGTTTGAAACCCACCTACATAAAATATATTATCCCGAGTCCTACTAGTCTGATAGGATCGTATAGTATGCTATACTATAGGACTTACGGTAGAAGTCGAGTGATGGGTTGTCACTCACGAGAAAATAGGTTCTGGTTATATTGTTACTGCTATCACATGGTTTGGATATGGATAATAATTGGAGACAAGGCGAGAAGAGAAAAAATGGATTTTCTGGATGGTTGGTGGGTGCCGCAGGAGGTACCTGTTTTCCCGCATATGTCGATTAAGGAACAGTGTCGATTAAGGATCATATTGCTGAAAAAACAAGCCGAAACACTGTTTTCGGCTGATTTGTTGGGAGCGAAAAATACTGTTCCGGCTAAAAAAACTAAAAAAAACGAATTATAAGAGAAGCGAACAGGATCAATACCATTTTAACATGTTTTTATTAGTTCCAGCGTAGACCAGAGCATCTTTGGTAGGGCCGCCTATGCGGCTCCCGCGGGGCTGTATGTCCATGTGCAACACTATATAATAGATCTCACTATAGAGAGGGTGTAAAAATGTAAAATGACTTCGACCTCTCGTGATATGGCCTAGGGAATATATAGAGTCGTTGAAGTCACGTCCCCAACAGCCCAGGCAAACAAGGCCTGTAACATAGATTTCAGTAGCTGAGGGCACGTGCGGCAACCTGCATGGTGTCACTGGTCTTCGTAAGGTACTCCCTCCTGTCCAATTTGTAAGATATTTCACTTACATCAAGAGTCAAATTTTATAATTCTCGACCAATAATTTAGCCAATAATTTCTAACTATTGTACTACAAACTTGATACAGGCCTCGTTCGCTGGTCTGAAACTTGACCGAAACTGGCTGAAAACACGGTTCCGGCTAAATTGTTGTGAGAGAAAAACACTGTTCTGGCTGAAAAAAGAAGCCGAATATGGGGTAAGCCGAACATGGCCACTATTAGATCTATAATCAAGTATATTCGCCCCGTTCTACCGCACTACTTTAGCGATACTTTTTAGCGAACGAACAGTGTTTTTCTCTCACAACGAATCAACGTAAGCCAAATTTTAGCGAAACTAACATGTCCATTATCTAATATTTATAAATCTATAATCATAAATAATATAATATAAAATAAATAAATAGCCAAATTTAGAAGACCATCATACTACATGTTATAAACTGAATCGGAGGGTATCGCAAAGCTTTGGAGCAACTTATGTGCATTCATGGCATGTCCTGTTCGTTTAGCTGATAAGCCATGACTGAAAGTACTGTTGGCTGATTTATTGTGAGAGAAAAATATTGTTCGTTGGCTGAAAAAGTACGGCTTATAATCCAAGCGAATAGGGCGAAGATGGCGCTCAAAACAAATTAAGCCGCAAGCCATTTCACCCAAGCTGAGTATAAATAAAAATAATCTCACACGTTTTCTCTAAAGTTAGAAGAAAAAATGAAAATAAAAAAGAATGCGACAAGGACATTTCTAGTCACACATATGTTGTTTATTACAATAATAATAAGACATACAAATAATGAACGAAGGAAGTGGTGTCTTACAAGCTTGTTTGGCAGAGCTTATGAGAAGTGATTCTACGTTGATTATGTAAAGTGATTTTCTAAAATGAGCTAGGTGTTAGGTTTCGTCTGATTCACTATATACAGTTATTATGTGCATAGAGTTTATTCTATAGAATCATTTTCAAACGGTGATTCTCTTCTTTCCGAAAATCTACTTCAACAGAAAACCTGGAGGAGTTCTTATTTTACGATTCTCAACCTTGCTCTAGGGACTTATATTATGAGACTCGTGCTCAGTTAAATCGCGAGCAGCCATAGCGATTACAAATTCAGGAAGGGGGTCTGTCCAAACACAAGATTAATCCGAGTCCCAACTCATTCCCATACTAGCAAGCTCGTACGCAAACAAGTTACAAGATCTCGAAATGTTACACACTCGTGCAATTAAAATGCTCCCGAAGAAAAGCACGCATGTCCCTAAAGTAACCTCCACCAAGAGCCAAATTCTAGGACGTCGTCGTGATCGCGGGCACTACTGTTTTTTTGTGTTATGAGCTCTGAGATGGGCCATGTCCTGATGGGCCTCCGCCTCTCTTAGTGTTCAGATCTGGTTTGAAACAAGATACTGGTTGTCCGCCGTTTGCCTGTTGGGCCGCACGGGCGGTGAATGGTCGCGTTTTGTGCAGTTTTTAGTACTTCTTCATGAGCACGAGCAACATTGCAGTTGAAGATTGTAGCTACTGAGCGAAATAGCTTTTGTACATTGATGAAGACTATTGGCAAAACAGTTGACCGAACTAAGTCGTCGTCGTCGACGTCCCTTTCCGGCTGACAACATGGCTGAAGCACAAATCTGCTCCTTAATTATTAGGTGCGACCAAGTAGCCCGTGTGTAGTGTGTACACGCGCGTTACGCTATGCAAGGTGCATGCGTTTCTGTCCTTTTGACGCAGTCCTTCGTTCAGCATGCACCAAAAGCTTTCACGTTACAGGCTCCGTTCGTTTCGCTAAAAAAAATAAGTTAAAATACTGTTCCGACTGATTTATTGTGAGAGAAAAACACTGTTCCGACTGAAAAAACAAGCTAAAAAAGATGGATTATAAGATAAACGAATAGGGCCACGACATGCCACGGCTTCCGTATAAAGGTAAAAAAAAACGGTTAATTTATGCAAAACACGAAGCATGATTGGGCCCGATGCATTCACTTGGTACACGCTGATATGACGTTACCCGGCGGCGGCGCTACGCCCGGCGATCAGGTATGGTGGAGCCGTGGAGGCGTGGAGCTCGGACGCGGTCCCGGTCCAAGTCCCAACTCCATGCAGCGCTTACGTGAGTGAAAGGCGAAGCCGACAAGAAAGAGACCAGAGCTCGGATCACGGGGCCCCACCTCCCGACACGTGAGCAGCTGAACCGGTCCGGTCCCGGCCCCACCAGCCTCGCCACCCACCACTCCAGTACTCCACCGCACCTTCACCCCCAAAACGCCAATATTTTTAAGCCCCCGCCACGCCGCGCCGCCACCGCGGAGCCAATTCATCCCTGTCCTGTTCCTGTCCATTCTCTTCTCTTCTCTTCACGATTCCCATCGACGAGGCGAGCGCGGAAGGCCCGAAGCGGCGGCGAGATGTGGGTGTTCTACATGATATCGCTGCCGCTGACGGTGGGGATGGTGGCGGCGACGCTGCGCTACTTCGCGGGCCCCGCCGTGCCGGCCCACGTCCTCGCCGTCGTCGGCTACGCGTGGCTCTGCTCCCTCTCCTTCGTCGTCCTCGTCCCGACCGACATCTGGACGGTGCGATCCCTCCGCCTCCTTCCCGCCATGCTGCTACAGTGCACAGAGTGTGCTAATGCTGCGTCGCCGGCCGCGACCTCTCTGCCGCTCCTGCATGCTTAGTGTGCGCGCTATCAGTATCAGAGATCATTTGAGCGTACTGCGGACGAGTAAACTGTTGATTGGTTGCGTTGCTGGTAATGTAGTGTTGGAATCGGAGTTTGGATGAACCATATCCATTTGTGAACCTGTTGCTAGTTTACTAAGAAATGTTTTAAACTGGATTAACTTATGAGTAAATGGTGATTCGGTAGCGTATGCGTACCCAGTAGTCCGGCAGATCATTCTGTGTAGATAATCATGTCGATGCCAAGGTCCTGAAGGTAGGAATTCGTGGAAACAATCACAAGAGTGATTGGGGTTAGATGGTGAAATCGTCAAATTGGCGTTGGACTGGTTCTATGACTTGTCAACGGAGGTTATTGTAAAAAATTAAGCAAACAATCAACATCAATAAACCAAGTAGATTGTTGTTGTCGCTGTTTGTAAATGTGCTTAAGTAATATATACAATTGTGGATGGAAAGGCCGACAAGGTGTTGTTACTTGTTACGCTATGATGTGCACTGGTCTGCAGGGTAGTCTGTTTCCATTCTGTTGGCCTGACCCGTTATGCCATTATCTGACTTGCAGGCAATTTCTGGCAATGGCAGCAATCAGAAGAGTGACGTTGGATTCTTTTGGAGCTGGTCGTATTGGAGTACATTTATCCTAGCATGTATGTCAGTGACCACAAAGGCCCGTGTTCTGTTCTCGTTCTTATAAAATAGTTGCAGACTTGCAATGCTCGAAGATTTGGAACGGCATTGCTGCTGTTCTTTGTGTTTCTAATGACATGTCCTTTGCATGAAGTTAATGTAGTGTGAAACTTCTGTATAAGCATTGAACTTTTTTAACTGCCAAGTTGATCAGCATTCTTTTCTTAAGGAAAAATTGGTCAACGTTTACTGAATATTTTTCTCTCAATTAGATAAATTGGATCCTTTGAGACGTCCGATTACCCTGCATTCTACAAGTAGTACTATTCGTGGACGATATTTGTGGTGTGAACTCTCACTGACATAAGAAAGTTCTTACTGGCCTTCCTAGTTGCCTTTTTTTTATTCTTATGAACTGATTACTTTTCTTTCATCTCTCTAGGTTCACAGTTGTTAGGTCGTTATGTGCATTTTTGCAGTATTGTCATTTGAAAACTCTATCTATCTATCTATCTGAACAGGTCTATTGTTCCCACTCTTCAGGGCTATGAAGATTCTGGAGATTTCACGTTCAGAGAAAGACTGAAAACTAGCATTCACAAGAACATGACCTATTATGCAATTGTTGGAGCTATCGGCCTTTTTGGACTCATTCTAATTATAATAATGCGCCATGATTGGTATGCTTCGATTGTCTAGTGATCTTGTATAATTGTCTAGTGATCTTGTATAATCCTTGATCAATCTAATATGTTTATGCCACTCAGGCTCAAGTCTATAAAAATTCATCCACTTCCTTGAACATTTCTTGACAATATTTGCTTTATTGTGTCGAGTCCATTTTAGCAACCTTTTTTCGGAGAGGGGTTTATTTGAATTCTTGCTTCACTGTCTTAACTTTACATAATGCTACTGTTGGCAGGGTCCGTGGTATCTTGGGCTTTTCCATGGCATGCTCAAATACCTTTGGCTTAGTGACAGGTGCCTTCCTGCTTGGTTTTGGATTGAGCGAAATTCCAAGGAATGTATGGCGAAGTGCTGATTGGACTCGCCGCCTACAATTTTTATCTCACAGAGTTTCGAAGATGGCTACAAAGCTTGATCATGCCCACCAAGAATATTGCAATGCAATATTTGTATGTACTTTTCTAGATTCTAAACAATCATATCATGATCAGTTGATGGCTGCATTCCTCTGAACGATTGTTCCTTTCCTTATCTAAGGTTGTTCAAGCCACCTCGAATCAAATGTCCAAGCGTGACCCATTAAGACCTTGCATGGATATTATCAATAATATGCTGACTCAAATGGTATGGATTCTCAGGTACCACATCAAGTTTCATTTAGAAATTGAGATTAGTCTTAATAATTCATTACCTCACATTTTTTTTCCTCAGCTGCAAGATGATCCATTATTCAAGCCTTCTGGTGGGAAATTAGCAGAACATGATATGGACTATGACACTGATAATAAAACAATGGCTACACTCCGACGTCAACTTAGGAAAGCCCACGAAGAGTATTATAGACGTAAAAGGTACGACACGCTATGATATTAAGTGAAATGAAATACTTCTTAGAGCTTGAACCCGTGACTGGCCCCTGCTCGCTCTGGAGTCTGGACCAAAAGATTTGCTGGTAATTTCTCACCTGTAGAATAGAACAGGTGATAAAATCATCCAATGATTGTGCAGCTGGTGGCCACATTTTTTCGTTATTGGTGTGCTTATTGGCAAAGGGTATATTTCCCTTAAACATATTTATTTTAAAAAATAATAATGGACAAACTATTTTGAAATCACTATCAAGATTGGATCTACTCTGGCTTTGATAGTTCAAGGGTAACATAAAAGGTTATGAATTCATGGTGGAAACTACACACGTGAAACTTGTGTGGTTAATATACATGCTTTATTTTTAGTAAATTCTCATTTATATACTACTGTAGTTTGAAACAAAAACTCATGTATCCGGTGGAATCCAAACATTTTTTTAAAGCAAGAGTCCAAACAATTTTGCCTCTAGTTATTTGTTCACATCTGCTGTTTAATTCTGTGCTATACTTATGCAGTGATTATATGACTTGTGTTGTGGAAGCCCTTGAACTAGAAGACACTATTAGAAACTATGAGCAACGTTATGCTAGCGGATGGTGAGTATTGTTTATGTTTGCATAGAAATGGCTATGACCGTTCATGAGACCTATTTTCATAGAGAAAGGTAACCATATGACAGCAGAGAAATTTAGGTTTAGCACAGGTAGTTACAGGTCTTGATTATTAATAAACCTTCAATGGGAAACTTTAGAAGTATTTTGATGTGTCTTTTGCTCTATCTAATCGGTGAATTTTATTTGGTATTTTTGTTGTTGGATCAAATAATAATTTTAGGTTTAATTTAATCAACAGATAAATCATGAATACAACTGATAAACTAGCACTAGCAGCAGCAGGAGTGATAGATGGTACTGCATATGAACAAAACATGTTTGCTGGGTTTGGATTATCATGCAGAAGTTATAAGTAGCATTAGTGATACGAGCAAGTGCAAGTCCAACATTCGAAACTTTTTGCCACATTGGCCCCTTCAGCACTTCCAGACTTGGATGGTAATGAAACATGGATATTTCCGCAGATTACCCTGGATATTTTGGTAGATTTACTTTGTTACATTTCAGCATATGTGCATCAAATTTGTCCGAACTGCCTCAATCACCAAGTCTTGCAAGCTGGTTAAAAACTTATCATCATGAGAAAAAATATTCCGAGGTCTGTTTCAAGCATCTGTGTATCTCATTTATTATTAACTTTTACAGGAAATATCTGTCAAGTTTCAGGGAAAATCGATCAGGCACACTGGGTTCTTTCCTTGACTCCACAGGTATTTTTCACCATTTTTTTCTCGAATACGCAGAAGAACTGCGTATCATTGTATTAATAGTAGAGAAATATTTTTCACCATTTTAAACTTATGTGTCCATCAATACGACATAACAGCTGGAGATGTCTTGCAAGAATCTACAAGTTGTACTGATAGTCAATAATTTCACATTAAATCATGGCTCCTAATTTTACAGCTGAAAAGTGTTTCAAGAAATCTTATTGTGAAGATACGTTGTTATACACAACACTGTCTCATCTATCTTCTATCATATCCAACACATAGGGTTCTGAGCTAACCACCCTGAATTTTCAATAATTCATGGTAACTGATTCAAAGGCACATTGACATTTTCAGAATTCATTTGGCGCTGTTTACTGAGAAAGCAACTTATGAGAGTACTTGCTGTTATCCTTGGATGTGTCTCGGCTTCCATACTGTTGGCTGAGGCCACTTTGCTGCCAAGTGATGTTGATCTGTCACTTTTCTCCAATCTTATAAATGCTGTAGGAAAGCAAGAAGTTCTAGTCCAGGTAAGAAATTTTTCATTCAATTGCTGCAGCTTTGCCTTGTCATCATTGGCTGTTAAAAAGGGCGCGTGCCAGTCTGAGAGAGCTCCCGCTCTGTGCGAGGTCCGGGAAAGGTGTCGATGGCAAGCCTTACCCAGTTTGGAGTAAAATATACACATGGATCCCACTTTCACACAGAAGCACATGTTTTTTTTTTCTATAAACATAACTTCTTTTGCATGAGATTTTGTTAATCCTTTGCTTCTCAATTCTATTCATCAATCGTCATATACACAACTGTTGTGCTTTAACATGTGAAAAAAAAAATTCCTGGTGGATTGTCAAAATCTGTTTTTTCTAAAGGATCAAACATTGTTGTTCCTTGCCATTCTTTTATTTTTTAAATACCTTTCTTCATTCTGCTTGATGCAATTTCACGAAATTAAAGAAAAACTTCCAAAACAATAAGTTTAACCTTATTCTTTTTGCTGATTAGAGTGGCCTCTTAACAGGTTGCTGCATTTGTTCCCTTGATGTATATGTGCATCTGCACATACTATTCACTGATTAGGATAGGGATGATGCTGTTATATTCGTTGACCCCAGGACAAACTAGTTCAGTCAGCTTGCTTATGATCTGCTCGTAAGCTTTCCAGTTTTCCACCTTTTGATACTTTGAATGGCATTAATTGTTAAAAGCTCCTTTCTGCATTCTAATCGAACTTTTACATCAAATGTTTCACTGCAGAATGGTCGCAAGATATGCACCGCCCATTTCTTACAACTTCCTGAATCTCATTCACCTTGGTGGTAATGCTAAAACTACTTTTGAAAAGGTGATAATCTTTGCATGTTCCTTTCTTGTACTGTTTTCACTACATTGTTGGCAATGAATAAAATCAATATGTGGTATTTGAGTAGTCATTCTTGATCTCAAACTTTCATAATTGGTGTTTGCTCAGAAAAAAAATGATGAAAATATTTTTATTTTTTGATATTTGGGGAAAAAATACCATGATTTTGTGCACACCAGGAAAAAGAAGTAGAAAAACACTAAATGATTGTGAGTTTACAGTTTGCATGCCAAATTCAGGTCCCGGTTAGAATTTATGCTCTTTCAGATAATCACTGCTCCAAAAATAATCAAATTCATCACCTTAATTTTGTGTACCCTATAAGGAAATACTTAAAATACAGCGACACGTTTTTTCACTGCAAGTGCAGAATGCAGGATTCTCTTGTCCTTATATTGGTGTTACCAGATATGTCCCAATTGACTGCTTGACTGATCGCCTCTTGTACTAATATGTAGAGAATGGGAAACATTGATGACGTTGTACCTTTCTTTGGGAGAACCTTCAACAAAATCTACCCACTTATTATGGTTGTTTATACTTTATTGGTCGCCGGAAATTTCTTCGAGCATCTGATAGACTTTTTTGGGAGCTTGAAAAGGTTCAAGTGCTGGACTGACCAAGAAGAAGATATGGATGGGTTGGATCCATCTGGAGTATTTATTCTTCAGAAAGGTAAGAATTTCATTATGTATACATGATGATATCTTGTCTTCTTACCCCACATGCCTCCAGTAATTTGGTACTGCTTCGCTGTTACGCGCTTATTGGGATTTCAGTTTCCTCCGTCAATAATCAACTTATCATGCTTACACAGACTATTCCAAACCCTGCTTTGTTTCGAAAAAAAAATAATCAAACCCTGCTAATGGTTTCGGAAACATCTAGCCTGTTGCTAATGGTTTTTCTGGAAACCCTGCTTGATTTTAGAAGTCATTTTGCTCCAGCGATGGCTTGTCCTATCAGATATCGTCTCGTGTATTTGTTTTCTTCTGCAGAGAGAAACTCATTGGAACAAGGACGCAAAGTCAGTGAGCATGCAACTCCACTAGCAAGAAATTTCAGCTGTTTAGGCAAAGACGTCGAATCTGGAAACTTACCACAGGTGCGAATTAATTTGGCTGCATCATAGTCCTTTTTCAGCAATGGCGTTACTATTTGTCTTCACTGTGTCATCCAGTTGTCCGAACCCTTCTTTTCGGCAGATTTTGAGCTCAAAATTCTAGTCCATTTGGATGTTCCACTCTCAGCTAATCTTCAACTTGTTTTGCACAGGGTGAGGATACAGTGGAGACGAAGCCGGAACGAACCGCCCAGCCGAAACACAGCGGCGATGTTGCTCACAGATATTCTTCAGTCAGGGAACAGTGCAGCAGTCCGAAACCAGTGGAGCAAGTTCAGAAGGAAAATTCACCGGCCTCCATTAAGCTAGACACCGGAAATTCTGTAGAGCTGGCTCCAGATTCACCGGCTGACACGGCCTCAAGGTGGGCCTCAATGAAGATGGGTCTTCAGAACTTCAGAGCAAGCATGGGCTCCAAGAAGTTCCTCCGTTTGAGCCTGTCTCCTAGGGCCGGGACGAATGAATCTGCTACGGAAACGCTCGATGAGATCTTCCGGAAACTGAAACGGCATTCGAGCAACGCGGATGCGGATCACCTCGACGACGATGGATTACCTTGACGACAGTAGGGGCAGCAACACAAACGCGCGCAACACCGTTGTTGAGTTTTTCGCTTGATGTATCTCAAATTCTCAAGGTAGGAAACAACAAAGCTCAGGCTGTGAAGGAGTAGAGGTACTAGAAACACAGAGGAGTGGACACAGGATGACAAGGACTTGACCAAGGTACAGAACGTACAGAATTTTGTATGCTCGTGGGGGACCCAGGTTACTGGTTCGTTTGAAGAAGTGTATATGAACATGAACTGGTGTCTAGTAACGTGAGGATCTGTCCTGCGCGTAGGAGGCTAGAGGTGTCACAGAGAGGGTAAAACACTAAAATGTACAGTACGTGCAACGCAAGTCCAAAGTATCATCTGTGGGATGACGGATGTGTTTCTGATCATTGTATACTCTCTTGCTGCACTGCATCTGTCATGCTCTATCTGATTGCTTACTCAGAACAGATAACTCCAAAAAACATCCGCAACGGACAATCTATTATAAATAAACTCCCTAAAGAAAAGAATAATGCATAATGAAGGAATGGCAAAGCAGTGTCGTTGTACACTGTACTTTACTCCTTTATCCGAGAATATTAGTTACACCTGCCATGGAAGACTGTTTTTTCTCAGAAAAGCAAAAGTTGGGGCCCCTGCCCCTGCAAATGCAGCAATTATGTTGTGCCTGACGACTAGAAAAATGCTCGTCACTACATGCCAAAACAGGTAACAAACTATCGATGAAATCTGGTCAGCGGTCTACCGAGGGGCATGTTCACGACAGTAAATGAATCGGTGGAGGTACGTGTGAGAGAACCGAATAGTGACACAGAACGCGAGAGACAGCGATTAGATAGGTTTGGGCCGTCGGCTTAACGTAATACCCTACGTCGTATGTTTTTGTAAATTGTATTGCGTATAATCAAATTCAAACGAGGGGGGTCCCTACCCGTCTTATATAGTCTAGGGTAGGGTTACAGATCAATTGTTTCTATCCTGAAAGAAAGGAAGTTACAGATATCACGGTAATCTAGCATATCCGAGCATATTTCCTAGATCGACGAGGATCTTCACGTAGTTTTGCGAGGCACGCTGACTTACGCCATACTTCACGCGGCGTCGTCTTGCACGCTGGGCCTCGACTGGCGACGCGGCCCCTGCGTGGTCTCGTGGGCTGGGCCTCCCCTAGCGGCTCGGCCCATGTGCATCCCAGTGGATATCGGGGGTTATACCCCCACAGTTAGTCCCCGAGCGCCTTATATCCGTCGAGTAACGTCGTCTTGAGCTTGTCCGAACAGTCCAGCTAGTCGCCGGTCGTCAAAAGCAGGCGTCCGTCCAGATTGACCGGTAGCCGAGCTGTTGAAACTGGCGTCTGAACTGTTGAATACGTCATCCGAGCTGTTGAACATGGCGTCCGAGCTATAGAAATGGATGTCCAAGTGTTTAAATCTGGAAGCCGAGCTCGGGCTCACTTGAAGCTTCAAGGTTTGCCGGTAGGATGTAAGGAGCTCAAGTAAAAAAATTGAAGTCTCAGCCGGTGAAGTGTACACACTTAAGTGTCTATTGCGATGGCTCTGACGACGTGGTCATCAGGACAGAGCGGAGGCATCAGATGGTAGACTGGACAAAGTCGAAACACCGTGGGAAAAAATAGTACATGCACCGCAAGGTGCATTGTACACAATGTAGTCCCGATCCTGCTGGAAGATGATGAAGGAATCTTATAGCAGGGTCAAAAAAATATCCAAACCAGGCAATCAGTACATTCACCGCTAGGTGAAGTGTACACACTTAGTCCCCGAGCCTGGCATTAGGTGAAGCAGTCTCGTGGTGCTAGGATCCAAAGAGGCAGTCTGCGGGTGTTGAAACCGTTTGTCTTAGCTGAGAAAAATAGTACAATCATTGCAAGATGACGTGTACACATGTAATCCCCGAGCCTGTTGGAACATGATCAAGGTATCTTGTAGTAGGGTCAGAAAATATCTTGACTCTGTTGAAACGACGCGTAGCATTGGACTCTGTTTCATCACTCTGCATTCAACGCGGCAGCCTATAAGGTCCACTCGACAGCCCAACGACGCGCGGAGGTTTTAGGGGAGAATACGGCGGGGGAGGCGCAGTTTCCCAAAAAACTGGAAGGCGAAGGGTCAGGGGTCGAACCGTTATAAGAGCGGCGCAACCCCGGCGCACATTCCCCACCTTTTCTTCACCACTTCGTCCTTTTCCTCGCGCCCACACCGTATCACTCAGTAACTGCTCCGCCATCAAAGTAACTACAAAGCTCGTAGTCTCCTCCAGGCCATAGATCTGTTAGATGGCGCCCAAAAGAAACCACAGCAGCTCGAGTAGGGCATCACGCGAGCTCAATCGCACCGAGGAATGGATGAGCTCCGTCAGCAACGAGGCGGCGCTCAACCAGTTGGTGGTGGACGGCGTGCTATCCGATAGGGTGATGGCGTCTGGCTCATGGTGATATCTTTCCTACCCCCGCGGCGATGAATTAGTGGTTTTTGAAGATTACTTTTATCGCGGATTTGGTGTTCCGATCCATCCATTCCTTCGTGGGTTGATTGACTATTATGGGATTAGTCTCAGTAATCTGGGCCCAAATTTCATCCTTCATGTCTCTGTCTTTATCCATTTCTGCGAAGCCTATCTTGGCATTCTTCCACATTTTGATCTCTTCCGCCACTTCTTCTATTTGAAAGCTCGAGGGGGATCTGGATCTAGGATAGTAGGTAGCGCGTACTTGCAGCTTTGGGATGGGATGGTTGGCCAGTACATCGCTACCCTGTTGAACACAAACGTGAAGTATTGGGCGCAGTGGTGGTTCTACATGCCATAGGGGGAACACCATGTGGCATGTGACATTGATCAGATTCCTGTGAGCAATGCCAAGTGGTCGGAGAGACCTGGTATCAATGGAATGGAGCAAGTGAAGGAGCTCTTGACATTGCTCGACCGGAGAAGGGTGAATGGGGTCATAGTAGCGACGAATTTCACTTTTTGGTGATGCCAGCCCAGCAAGGAGAGGGCACATCCCGTGAATGAATCCGCAGGGATATTGATGGGACCCGAGAGGTGCCCGAGCCAATTGACCGAGATGAAGTCATGCGACGGGTTGGGGTGTTATTTAACCTCGTGGGTCATCGTAAGATCGACGACCAGCAGAGAGCCTTCAGTGTGTAACACCTCTGGTGTTTTGACCTAGCACTAAAATTTTACATGTCATCATATGCATTGCAAAGCATTCATGGAGTAGAAAATTTTGAATGCATTCACTAAATAAGCTTTATTTCATAATGTTGTTATTTCATGTGATGTGTTTCAAAACCCTAAATAAAGATCATGACCACAAGGGTCAAATTTCATGTGATCATGCGAGGCCATGTGTCATTTGACTCAAATAACCCTAATGGGCCTTGTTACTGGTCAAAAATCAAAGTTAAAGTAAAAGAAAGACAAATCAAATTTGAATTCAAATTCAAATTATAAAAGTCCTTTTTGCCCCTTTTGACTAATTCAAAATCCATGTGGAATTTGGGGTTGAGGCAAAAAGCAAAGTTGAAGATTATTTTATGTGAATCAACTTTGGTATTTAAAGTTTTTCAAGTTTACATATAAAATTTGGAGTAATTTTGAAATGATTTCAAATACTCAAATGCACCCCAAATTCAAATTTCAAAATGGAGGCAGAATTTGAAAATATTCATTGAAGCAAAGCTGTAGAGTTTGAAAAGTTGAGCAACTTTCATTTTTGGAGATTTTCAACTTCTTTAGAAAATTTGAGAGTAATTTGCAAAATGAACTCGGTGGCAATTCTGTAATTTCTCGGAACAGTAGCCGACCACCGCCCCACCGCCGGCGTCCTTTCTCTGGCCTTCCAGGCGCGTCTGCGATTGCCCTCGGCTTCGCGCTGGCATGAGCAGCTCACTGCGTGTCATTCCCTCGCACTCTTGGCCGCGCTATAAAGCTCCGACGCCGTCGTCGACTTTGATTTCTCTCCTCTGTTTCCCGTCGCCACCGCTTCAACTCCGGCGAGCTATCCTCGCCTCCTCAGCGCAAGATAGCCCCGGGAAAGTAGTGTCTCAGTTTCGCCTGCTCCTTGCGCCTCCAACTGACCTGTTGCTACCACTTGATTTCGCCGAGAACTCGCTGTCTACGTTCTTCTTCCTCGCGGCCGGCGATCTCGACCGAAACTCCGTTTCACCGCGGCCAGCATCATCCGGTGAGCCGTTGTCCTTGCTTGTTGTCGCTACAGCTTCGTCTCAACGCTGTGATGCTTAATCCGTTCTTGCTTGGTCGTTTTGCTCACTGCAGTCACCGAAACTCCGTCACCGACGAAGTTTGCTCCGCCATGACCGCTGTCACCGTCGACCCGCGTCACCGTAGCTCCTCCGGTTTCATTCTTTGCTTCAACATGTTCGGGGTGAGCTACTGATCCTTTCTAAGCCTTTTGTTTGATCTCTACTGGCCTTGTTTCGCCGGCGTAGCGATGCCGTGCCACCGCGTCCGCCATGGCCGGTGTCAGCCTTATTCCATGCCGTAATCAACCTCCAAAGTGCCATAGATCGATGCGCCTAGCTCTTGTGAACATGTTAGTGCTTTGGCCGTCGCTGTTGGGCTCATCGTCGGCGAGTTTGCATCGGTCAGCGCCGTCGCAGCCACGGTCAATGCCCGAGGTTGGGGATGACAGGTGGGGGCCGGCTGTCAGTGAGAGCAAGAGAGAGAATAGTGCCTTTTGTTATTTTCTGATTTTGAATAGTGCTGAATCTTTGGAAATTTGTAGGAAAATAATCATAGCTCTAAAAATTCTAAAATTTTGTGTGTAGCCTCTGTACATGCTCTGGTATGGTTTAAAAATTTGAAACTTGAAATTTGAATAAATTTTTAATGTTCAAATATTCAGTCCATTAATTAATAAATGCAATTTCCATGATTTTTGTAGGCCACTGTATAATTCCAAAAATTATGAAATTTATTTTGGTACACTAATTTGTTATGAGAAAGCTTACATAA